TGTTTGCCCCTTGTGGCCTCTCCGCCCCAGCCACAGCCTCAGACAGGCTCGCTTTGGGGGGAACAGCTGGTTTCTTGGGGAGCGCTGGTTTGGCTGCCACCAGTGGCTTGGGCCTGGGCTGGGGTCTGGGCCTGAGCTGGGGCTGGGGCTGGGGTTTGGGCTCAGCCCCCAGGTTCAGGATCTGGTCCAAGTCTTCTTCAACCCTAGGGAACCAAAGGGAGAAGCTCTGAGCATCACCACCCCCAGGAAGGGCAAGCCCATGCTTCTCCCCAGGGTGCTGGGCAGCTCCGGGGAAGCGGAACTGTGCCACGACAGGGTCCCACCCTGAGAAGAAATGAAGGACAGGGCCTTCTGTCAACCCCACAGCAGTGGGTCTTCAGGTGGTCTCTCTAAACACCATGGCCTTTCTAGGGGATGTTCCCTCCACCTCCTGTGAGCTACCAAGTGCGGGTCCCCCACTCTGTGCTGAGCACGTTGGATCTGTTATCTGACTTCGCTGTGAAGACGCTGCTCTGGGGAGGTACAACTGTGCTCCCCTTGCAAGCCAGGAAGCTGGCGTCCCAGGAGCCCAGTGACCCCACTGGAAGGACACTATGTAACAGCATCTCAGTTGGGAAGGACGTCCAGCTTCAGAGGCTGGGCCCTCCACACCACATCCAATCAGAGTGAACAAGAGGCTCTGAGCCACTGAGGCACGGGGTCTGCCCAGGGCCCCCACCTTGGGCCACTCGGGCGGCCTCAGCCAGGACCCGGCAGGCTTGTTACGGCCCCAGACCTCAGACTGCTGCTGGAGTCACAGTCACACAGGACCATCTCCAGGTACTGACAGGTAGGGCGCTGCCTGCCCCTGCCTTCCTGGCCTGGAATGCTCCTGTGGCCAGGGCACAGCAGAGATACTGGCTTTCTGGAGACCAGCACACAGCAGAAGGCTGGTCAGTCCACCCCACTCCTTCTGCCCACCCCCCACACTGCGCTGCCTGCCTATTGCAGCCAGGTGTTTTCACATTCATTAGTTCGTTGCATAATCTCACACCACTGGTAGCACGGATCAGCTCTGCTTTACAGACGTGAGAACCGAGGTGTAGACCTAGCATGAGGAAACAGCACCGGGCCCAGGTGTGGCCGGCTCCCCGGGGTGTGCCCGTCCTCCTGGGGTACTGTCTCCAGCCTCTGGTCTGGGCTTCTCCTTGTGATGGGTATTCCCACCTGTGGGCTCTGCCATACGGGAGCCAGGGGAGGGAGGGCGCGGGCACTGAGGGTGGAAGACTTGGGCTGGCTGCCTGGCTGCTCACAGCTTCGTCTTTCTCATCTACAACATGGGGACAGCAGTGTCACCCGGCAGGGCTGCATGGTGCTGTGGACAGCACACAGCGCCATGGGCAGGTGCTTGGCTTTGATGTCCCAGCTCGCATCTGAGCCTTAACCTCCTGGGCCAGTCCCCCACTGTGAGGCGAGGACTGCTCTTGTCTACCACCCTCACGGGATTCTTAGAAGGATCAGATGTGACACTTGCTAATGTGCACTGACTTCTACTCACAGCCTGGGGGAGTGAAGCCTGCATGGAATACAGAGTGGCTGCTTCGACCCTCCATAAAGGAACCCCGGCCCAGCTAGTTGGGCAGGATCCACGCTATTACATGGGTCCGAGAAGAAGCCGGGGCAGGCTGGGAAGGCTTCCAGGGAAACAGGGCCTTTTAAGAAGGATGCGCCCCTCCATAAAGGAACCCCGGCCCAGCTAGTTGGGCAGGATCCACGCTATTACATGGGTCCGAGAAGAAGCCGGGGCAGGCTGGGAAGGCTTCCAGGGAAACAGGGCCTTTTAAGAAGGACAGGCCTGGCAGGAATGGGGGAAAGGCCGAGAAGGGGGCAGCGGAGAGCACAGTTTGGAGGTGGGAATGAACTGACGGAACCAGGCTGGATAGTGGAGGCTTCATAAAAAGGGGGTCATCCAGCTCAGTTCTCAGTAGGGATGGTGGGAGGAGGATGTGGGGGAATCATTTTTGGTCAGAACAGCCGCCTGGCATGATGAGGCCTGGCTGCCTGGGTGCTCACAGCTTCGTCTTTCTCATCTACAACATGGGGACAGCAGTGTCACCCGGCAGGGCTGCATGGTGCTGTGGACAGCACACAGCGCCGTGGGCAGGTGCTTGGCTTTGATGTCCCAGCCCGCATCTGAGCCTTAACCTTTGTGAAAGTGAGGGTGCCCGACACAGCCCCAGGAGGGGCTCCCGCCAGGTGCCAGCTGCTGGAGGAGCCCTGAGTGTCTGCCCACTTTCTGGCCGACCTCCTGAGAGGGGGCACAGACTTCAGAGAGATTTCAGTACTTGCCTGCACAGTGGAGAAGTGGACAAAAGGGGTCCTTCTCGGGGTCCTCCTAGGCACAGAGGGACAAGCCCAAGCTGGGCTGTCTGGAGAGAGCAGCTGCCTGGGGTTGGGGCGAGTCTGGAAGGATCACACAGACAGGATCCCCTGGCACCCTGAGCCGGATGGGCTCCCACTCCCAAGCACCAGCCCTTCCTTAACTCCCCCAGAATAGGTGCTGGCTCCCCCTGCATCTGCTCCTTGAGGCCGAGAATACCCAGGAAAACCTAAGGGACTGGATTATCCACAAACAGGGGCCGTTAGGAACAGAAAGCAGCAGGCAAGCGCCGATGTCTGACTAGGATTATGCAGGTAACTGCGAGGTGGGAGGCAGTGGCGTGCTGTGGGTGTCCAGCTCCAGGGGAGTCAGTGAGTTCTCTAGAGATACAGGTGGCTGCGTGGGCCCCTCCCAGGCACTTATTTCCTTCTGAGTCATGGCGAGAAATGGGCCCCCCAACACGAGGTCCAGCTTCCTCTTCAGGCCCAGCCAGTGTGGCCAACTGTGCGGGCCTAGAGGGAATGCCAAGGACCCAGCCTCTCCCCTCCTCCCTGGGCCCCTGCTGAGGATGAAACTCGGCTGAAGATCAAACTGAAGGCCAGGCGCTGGTTTCTGCACAGCGGGAGGGAACAGAGGCCTCAGGCAGCAAGCCCCCCTCAGGTGCCCCCCAGACTGCCTCGGAATGGCCGAGCCTGAGGCTAGTGACGAGATGAAGGAAGGAAAGCGAGCGTGAGTGGGTGAGCATGACTAGACCATCGCCCACGGTAAGGAAGCCCGATTACCGCCTGGACGGTCCCGGGGCTGGAAGGCAGTTCCAGCTGTCAAAGAGCTCAGGCTCTCAGGGCCAGGGTCCAGTCCAGTCCAGGCAAGGATGCGGGATGTGCGTTCATTAGACAGATTCCCTAAGTGGAGTTACAAAGGAAAGGGTCCAGGGACTCCTCAGAGTGTGGAGTGCTGGGAAGGGACTGCCCATCGCTCCAGGCCTGCCGACATCCGGCTTACTGCTGGCATTCACAAACTCACCGGACCAGAGCGCCGCTAAAGGCCGCCCTTTAACACCCCCTGCACTGTGCCCTGCAGAGCACGAGGTTAGTGATGGATTTAGAGTGAACCATGCCCAAAGGTTCCACGAGAGCTGCCCCACTGGCGTGCGCTGATCCTGGGTGTGCCCTGGACACACCCAGGAGCCCGTGTACTCTACTATCCCCGTCCCTGTGCCTTGGTTTCTCCTCTAACAAAATAACAGTAATCCTGGTTGCTCCCAGCTTTCCACGATGTCAGGTGCAAAGACACAGGATGAGAGGGAACAGATGCCGGGGGCCTCAGGGAGATGTAAATGCAAGAAGCCGTCACGGCGGCTCAGGCTTGGCAGGCACTCCGAGGGCTGCCTAATAGCCCAAGGCTGCTAACGAGGGTGCCATGACAGCCGCCAGGGCCCGCACACCTCGGTGTTCCTGGAAGGAGGCAACTCCACTTCCTGCAACTCACCCAGCTCAGCCCTGCTTCCTCGGGGTGGGGACGAGGGGCACAGCTGAGATGGAAACCCACAGCTCAAGCTGGCTGAGAACATTGCTCAGGGCACATAGGAGCCCGGGAACCTGCGGGTTTGGGGTGGGAGGTGAACCTCCCAGCCTTCCCTCCAAATGCTCGTCCCTGTGGGACACAGAGACCAGGATGGAGGCAGGAAGGCCCAGGTTCCAGTGCTGGCTCTGTCACTCGGGAGTCGGGAGTCGTGGCCTTGGGGAGGGACCACTCCCACACTCAGTCTGCTCTAAAAAGGAGATGTCATACCTACCCAGGGGGTTGTGTGAGGATTAAATAATGTGTAAAGAGTGCAGCTGGGCCCGGTGGGTGGCATGGTGGTTAGGGGCGCTGGAGTCCCACACGGCGGACTGTGGTTTGAGTCCCGGACCTAGCAGCTTACTTCCTCACTTTCTCTCCCTCGATCTCATCTTTCTTGTCAAATGAAAAAATATTAATAATGCAAGATTTTAGCTTTGTCTATATCTATTTTTCTTTTTTGGGTTATTAGTATCTACCTACTGTTTGAACAGAATCCTAACCTTTATCCTGGCTTTAAGTTTTAAGCAAATTTTTCTTAACATTTAAAAATTTTGATTTATTAAAGCTCAAACTGCTTTTCTTGAAATCAAAAAGACAGATACAAGGGCTGGCAGGTGGCGTGGTGGTTAGGGCGCTGGAGTCCCACATGGCGGACCGTGGTTTGAGTTCCGGAACTGGCAGTCTGCTTTCTCACTCTCACTCTCTCGCTCTGTCCCTCTCTGGTCAAATTAAAATAAATAAATAAATAAAGTTAAATAAAATAATTCTTTAAAAACATAAATACATAAAAAAAACACACACAAAAATAAATGGAAAACATACCTACTTAATGACCGCAGTAAGCTGTATCGCCTCAGCTAGGTGCTACTTTGTAGTATGTTCATTCTACTCACTGAGTTTTAGGCCTAAAGTCAGACAGATGCTCACAGATATGTTCATGTCAGCTGTACTTACTACTGAAAGTATTTAGTATAATTAAGACCTTTTGTGAATCAATAAATTTGTGGGAAAATAATAGATACAGCCATTTAAAAATAATAATAATGAATAAAGTTAAATAAATAATTCTTTAAAAAAAAGAAGCATAGCTTCCTGCCTGACGCATGGCAAGCTCCGCGTGAACAGGAGCCATCGTTTTCTGCAGATTCCGTGGATCAGGCCTCGCTCTCCCCTCTGCAGATGGGCCACTGCCTGGCACATCCGTGCTCTGCTCCCTCTGGGCAGGTCGCCTACTGCCAAGGGCAGTATCTGTCCCAAGCCGGTTTATACCAGTTCTGTAACACTGGCTTTTGTAATTATGTAATTACCTTTACACGCACTGTAAATCTATGAGTGTGACAGAAACAGGCCGGCTGGCCACATGAACTTCTCTTCCCAGGACCAGCCAGGCTGTCTGGGTGGCTGATCCACCTTTGGGACCCCCTGACACCTCTTGGCTATGTGGGACCCATCAGCTCCTGCCTCTGACAGGCCTGAATTCCCTCCACAGAGGCTGAGGCTGGGAAATGTCTCACCTTCAATGGTCCCTGGCCACTCTCTGAGCTGGGGAAATATCGATGGGGACAGGTGGTACCTGAACAGGTCCTCGGAGGCGTCCACACGGCCCAAGCTGGACATAGGGCCTACACTCTCAGGGGTGGCTGGCAGCAGTAAGGGGTCACCCAGGGGAACGGCCCCGCCAAGGTCAGGATCGTCAAATAGCTTCAGGGCTGCAGAGAAGATACAGCAGGGTGGTCAGAGGGAGTCAGCTGCTGGGTGAGGGCTGAGAGGGCTGGCCCAACCTCCTGCTCACCCAGGAGAGTGGGGGCAAGGAATAAGCAGAAAGCCAGAGAAATGGAACTGGAGAGAAGGAGGCGGGTGAGGACAGCAGCTCCTCACGGGCTGGGACACGGGCCTGCCTCAGCCTCCCTGCCCAGCACCTGGGTCGGAGTGGCCGACAGTATCACTCCCACTGTCAAGTCCTCGTGGGCTTCCTCCACTTTCACGATGAATCTGCCACTTGGGCTCCCGATACCTGAGCTCCCGATGCTGGGCACTCAAGGATCCAGGCCCCCCCGGGTCCAGCAGACCTGGATCTCAGCCCTGCCTCCACCCCTGCACCGTCTTCCCACTGCGTTTCCTGAGTGCCAGTTGCAGCCAGGGGCCACTCTCTGCTGGGTGTGGTGGCAAGAGGCAGGCTGGCCACCATCCCTGCCATCCAGGAGGTTCATCACAGCCTCCACCTGGAACGCGTTTCTTCAGCAGGCCTGGCAGACTCGGCTGGTCTGGCAGATCTGGCACTGAAACAGTCCAACCAGGGCAGCCCAGCCCACCTCGCCTGGTGTCCCACGGGAGCTGGCGGTCCCATTTCTGC